AAGCACAACTGTATTTTGTTGCTTAGACGGAAACTTTTACATGTTGCAGAGAAAGCCTTCTGTTTACAGATGAACTCACTGTCTCAGCCTGGTGTTTCTTGATGCTACAGTAGGCGCAGTCACGTGATTGATGCGCTCATCAGGTTGTAAGGTTTCAAGAGCAGACAGAGTGAGCAAGCGTTCCTTTCTGCGCAATACCTTTTTATTCCCATGATCACAGTGGTGACTGGTTGCGATGTCATCAGGTGTCATGTTCTTCTCCAATCCTCCAGCTCCTCATTGGTTGGTCATCTTCAGCGGACTGACAGGTGATCTTCAGCTAGGTCCCCACTCCATACGAGTCCCCCACCCTTGAGGTTGCAGACAAAGAGGTACTGAGTGTTGAGCTCTCCATTACTGGAGGTGTCCAGATTGATCCAATCTGTGATATCCTGGTTTGTGTTAGGAGTCGGATCATCCTGCTATCAGAGAGCCTCATCTCAAACTCACTGATAAGGCTTAACACACGAGCTAAGCTGTACTTGTTGATAGTTCTGGGTAATAGAAATAATTTTTTCTTGGTATGTAATTCAATTAGTAATGAGACTTTCTGCTACATACGTAGAGCTTAATCAGAATAGTATTTATAAAGCAAATGTATTTTAAGAAACAGCCAACATGGATTTGTAAAGGGTGGCTTTTGTTTGATGCAACACTAGAACACGATTCATTTAAGACTGCCAAAAACACTAGATATAAAGTGCGGCTTCCTACATTAAAATCAATAGGAATCCTAAGTAATGTATGGAGAACTAGGAATGAATAGGACACAGCACAGGCTGCAGGGGTTGTAATGTCACAAAGAGCCCCAGACAACTAATCCCACCCCTCCCTTGGTAGTGCGGAGCCAAATCTGTGCTGCCTCTTAGGGGATCCCATTAACTGTTTACAGGACCCAGGCTCCAAAACCCGTCACCATGGAGTTCAACTACTAGCGAGCAATTCAGCTTTTTACTTTTAAAAAAGGCAATTTCATTGAGAGCTGTCTGGAGGGACTCAAAATGACTCAATGCTTTAATTTCAACCAAAGGATTTTCTAACATGTTCTAACTTGGTGGGTGAATCTTCAATCAACACACTTCATTTTTGCAGTTTTCTTTGTGGTTTTTGTAAAACTTCTTTCCATCATAAAAGATTCCAGTTTGAGCATGCAAGTTCTGATTTAAAAAAAAAATCACTTTAAAAATGTTTATTCATCATTTATAATTGAACGACATGTGACACTTTTGTAATAGGGCGTAATGTACTGTACAGAGTTAATGCTAAAATGTATTTAAAAAAGTTATGGGTAATGTCGGAGGGAGATCCTTTTATAATCTACTAACTACCAAGCAGGCTAGATGGATCAACAGGCTGCCTCTCATATTCTTAAATGGGCAAAGGAAATGTACACCAGTACATTGGTGCCCCTGTATAATGTCTAAGGTGTACAGCATATAAAAATACAACTATTTTATCTTACATTTGATACATTTAAAGCTAACAGTAATAAATGTTTAGTTTTGATTACCATATAGGAATTTAGGCTTTCTAGGGATTTTCTAAACGGCCAAAATCTCAAAAATACATCCCTTCATGTTGGAAATAAACCCATTATTTTTGCTTAATTTTAACCGCTCACATTTTGACTGTCCTAGTTCCAGGACATGTAAAATTTAGGATGCAGCTAAAAATACCTCTCAAATAGACTTGAAGCAGAAAATTAAAGGGAACAGGACATGCAGCCTATTTTGCTGCACTGCTGACATGGTGCAAGACGAATGCGTGACAGATGTCGGATAGGCGTTAAAAACACTTCAAAAGGGAGAATATTGTCTCGATTCAGTAAAATTACTAGAACAGCCTTGATTGAATCTGAAACAGTATTACATCAAACCAGGAACAAAGAAAGCTCCGAGCTACAGGCAGGAGTGAGTTGTACAAGTTGTGTAGTTGCAACTGCACCATGGCAAGCTAGCTTAAAGCCTGGCTCACTATTGACCTCACTATTTGGTCTAATGAATAACCTGAATTTTCAAACCAAACATCCAATGCTAAAGACAGGGAAAAAATGGATGCACAAAGTCGAAAGGCAAGTTCCTGAATCCAGAGAAAATGCTGGACTCGGAACTGGCTCAAGTGTGGGTATCGGGCTCAGACGTAAATAAAAAGCAAAGGGCAATCAGGAAAAGGTCGTGGAACATGCTCAGTCTGATTTAGCTACATCTAGTATTGTGATGAAAGCTAAGGGGGACACTCTAGTACAGACCATCAACAAGGAAAAACCTGACCGAATATCCACCACAGCCAACTGAAATCTGACTAATGATACATAAACACATTTTATGAAATAATGCAATGTAATTGAAATGACAACTTAATAAAAACATAATACAAGCATAGATTTTTTTGTCAACATGGTTACCCATGTGCTGTATATCAAACATGTAGCTCTTCCGACACCGGTGTCGTATCTAATTCACCATTTCTCCTTCATAATGTGCATGCACTCCAAAAACTTTCCACGATACCCAAGGATAGTGGCAGCTTCTGCATGTTTGTGCCTTTGCTTACTGATCATGACAGAAAAAGGGGCCGTTGTTTGTGTGCGATTATATTGGTTTCTCCGTGTATTAAAATGTTTTGCTAGGGATTGGAGTCATGAAGAAAAAAAAACGTACCGGCACCACATGAAAGCTTAGGTTTTCTTTCCACAAGACAAGGGAACCCAAAAGAAAGAACACAAAGGCTACAGGCGAAAGATGCACATGTGCTGCATATAAATCACTTTACAAGCAGAGGATGAGAAAAAGGATATGTCCCTGAAATAATGACACATTGGCGCATTTCAGAAGGGGATAGTGGACTGGATATGACACCTGGATTCAATCACACTTGATGGCAAGGTCACTGCAGACACAGCACCACTGCTTAGACAGTGGCGAATCCTCCTGCACCACAACATCAGGCCCAACAGCATTCTACCCTGTCTAGGGGGTAGCATCGGTTCTGCATCATGTTAATTGCACCGAGTCCTGTCCTGTTGGGTATGCAGTAAAGGCTAGTGGGGAAGTCACGCAATCAGATTCTGAAACCCTATGGACTCCACAACAGGTCCATCAGAGGGGAAATGTTTCAAAAACAAGAGCAGGCCCCACTGCCTAAAGAAACCCCATTGGCTTATTAGCATGTTATCAACAGAGCTGGATTGGAAAATGTATCCTATTCACGTTATGCACGCATCAAGGTTGTGCACTCAGATAACACTTTAGTCCCTCATACGATCTTATTGGTTTCCGGCACCACATGGTAAACAAACAAAGCACTGCCCATCACGTTCATCAGAGCAGGACTTTCAATTCCTTCAAGAAGTCTGGTCTTATCTTTGACTACACTCCCCACAGAAGTTAGCTCAGCCTTACAGCCTATCTAACACTTCCACATACCACAGTTTCATATTTCAGCGCTGAATATGAAGACGTCTAGAAGCTCTGTGCGCACTGTTGCTTATCTCCTATCTGCACAGCAGAGGGCTGGAAATGGTCAAATGTATTCTTAGTACAGTACGGCCACAGTGACAGCTCCACACTAGGGAAAGACAAAACAACAACTCAAGATTTTTACTCATTTGCGTTTGGTTCAACTGGTTAGATCACAGAGTTACCTCAGCTGTCCAAACCCACCTCACTAAGTATGCCACCACCCTACAGAACCCACCTAGAATCCAGGGTGACTCCAGAGATGAGAGACAGAAAAATAACTAGCCAGCACAGTCACATTAAAGCCAAAAGACTGTATCTCCATTACTTCTCTAGATGCATTCTATTGCCACATGGCTGTTCCTTATAGAATAACATACATTAAAACTGTTTATAGATTATCTGTATTACAACAACCTTTTATTGAATTACAGTAGGTGACTCACAAGGATGATTAAAAACAGTTTCAGAATTAACCTAAAATCGCATTTTTAATTTCACCAGAGGTGATGCTATTGCATTTGACCCCAAGGGGTATCTTGACTTTAGTGAAATAAGGTGGAGGAGAATTTCTTACACCAACTATGAATTTTTGATGTAACCTGTGAGTTTAATGATTGGTGTGAAATTAAAAAAAAGTGGATATATATTTTACTACCTTGAACTAAATGAACATGAATGTATCCAACGTATTAAACTTCATCTTCGGCATACTTCATAAATGAAATACAGTTAGAATCCGCTTGCATTATTGAACTGAAAATATTTAAAAAATTGCCACAAACAAGAAATAAGTTTGAGAGATACCTCATAATTAAACATCTGATGCAAATTATATAACCCATAGTCGCTATGTACTGTGTGCTCCATCAAGTCTTTTTGGTATAAAAAGTCCTGCAAACTTCCGTTCGAATGATCCGTAGGTAAATGTTTTCCTAAAACAGGACGCGAAATATACTGTATGTTTATAATTTTGTGTAGCATGTTACGTGAACAGTGTCACAGAGGTTAACAGAAGTACAAAGCTATAACAACCGAGCAGAAAGCAACTGAAGTTCACAGTACTGTAGAGCAGCAGCAGCCTCTGTCCTCTGCAGTGTCGGTACCTGGATGCCTCCGCACTCCCCCGACCAGCCTGCAGTCTCTCCAGTCTCGCCCTGACCTCCACCGCGAACCCCGGGACACACGCTGGCTGTCAAGGCGGGGGACACGGTACGGCTACCCCGCTTTTTAACAACCAAGGTCATTTCGTAATTCTAGTATTGAAGCATTATGCGACGACAATAAAACACACAGAGACGCTTAATGCGAATCTGCTGTTGAAATGTCCTTTCCTATTAAGCTGGAACAATGTCACCAGAGTGGGTCCACCTGTGCTGACTAAGAAAACAATACTGAGAGATATTAAGTTCAGGCAAGACGATATGATCTAGGGGAGTTGTCGAATATAGCGGTTTTGCCAACTCAAATCCAACCCACACGATGCCAGCTCTTCTTACTTACCAGCCTCTGCTCCCCCGGGATCCCCTCCAGTGATCTCGGGACAGACCGGGGCTCCCAGCCCCCCGCACGACTCCTTCTCCCTGGACCTCAATCTCAGCCGCAGGGTTTCGGTTTCCTGCTTCACCCGACCTATTTCGCTCTGCAAACGGGCAACTCTGTCTTGCACGAGTTCAGTGATCTGAAACACCGATGATTTCACTAGAATATCCGTCAGGGAATGGAGTCTGTCCTCCAGCTCGAAATCTGACCGCTTGTTTTGAAGAAGATCTGAAACTTCACCCACAGCCGTTCTGATGACACCCTCCATGACCGCTGTGAGTTGAGTCTGAAAATCTGCGAGATGCTCCAACATCCTGACTTGCTCAAAGATGAACCTCAGCGCTAATCCGTGAGGAAACCAGGAGTAACGGTATTGTTCAGGGGACCAGTACGACAACAATGCAATGATGCCCTACAACCTCCTCATTGCGTCACCGGAACTGACCACAGAGGCCACACCTCCCGCACGGCAGCCAGCTGCAGCTCATATCAGGGATGAAGCCTTCCTGGCAATAATTTACACCTGGTGCCATACTAGCGAGCCAAGGAACTGCCATAACCTCCCCCCCTCCACAGTGTGCCCAGCTAGCATGCAGTTAACAAAAACAACGGAAAGGAATGAGGAGCCTGAACACAACACGCATTGAAAAATGGTGTTCTCATTGCTTTCCGGCTTTATAGAGCGTTATAAGTGCACTGATTTGACACTGTCGATCAACATCTGCGAAGATGCCAAGCCCCTATGACAGAGATGTACCGTCTGCGCTGCAGTCCACAAAGTCGCAGCCCTCCACGGTCACACGTCGCTGTTCCAAATGCAGAGCAGGAAAAGGAGATTCATTGAAAACCTTTGTTTTTAATTATACTAATTCTGTAATGTCCTCTACTTTTTTTTTCTTAACTAAAGCAATTTTTAGAAGCTACATTTCAATGCGCTAAATTATTATTTATTATGATTATTATTATGATAATGCTGCACTAATTATAATGTATATATGATGTATATACTTAAGAAATAGTCTTTTTAAAATGTCCTACAACTTCTGTGATGTAGCGCAAGGGACACCCTGGCGTGACTGCTCTCGGTTGTTAACACGGCTCAGCGTCAACATGCCTTCTGCCGGTGTTTCTTGTCCAGTGGCCAAGCGCAAGATTTTTTCATTCTCCGTTCGCAGTTCGATGAAATTGAATGTCATCTCGTCTATCCCTGCACAAAAGTATAGCTCATCGTGTTCATTCATGCTAAGCAGGCTCGAGTCAAAACGGGCGAAGTAAACTGAGGAACACTTAGGCAGTACCGCTCCCTATTTACTGTACACAAAGCTCTGTGCTACTAAATAGATTTAATCTCGCCTGTCCCAATACAATAATGACAGGGCGAGGAATATACTGTAACACGTTCATTGGCGCTCATTCAAAGTAAACTAAATAAGGTTAACTTGGCAATACCGCAAAGCTTTGTACTATTATTAAATACGTGTACTACTAAATACACCGCGGGTTAACGAATATTCATCAGTTGAATTTAGGTGGCGGAACATAAGCTTTATGTAAAAACATCGTACCAAGTGTACATGCAGTACTGTAGCGAGACGGGGTCGGAGGGGATGCAGACAGGAATTCAGGCTCCTTTTAGAATGGAAACTGCTCTTTATTGCCGACACAGCAGAAAAGCCAACTGGAGACAAAAACAGCGTTATTAGGATATAACACACTAGGCTCACTTGGAGTACAGGCCCATATGTATAAGATGGTTAAGTGGGTACAGATATAAAAGGGTGTAAACCGGGGATAACTACTGTACATGACAACCCAACAGCCCTCAACAAGGTGCAAGCGCACCAGATGGCCAACACTCGCTGGCCAGTAGCCCTCAGCCCCCCTTTGATTCCTCCTCCCATCCTTCCCGCGCACTTCAGCCGGGCGCTCGTCGGCCGCAACGCCAGGCGAGGGCGCCACAGTATGGATCTAAAGCTAAATATTACTAACACGTGAATAATCACACCAGGGCCATTTTTTTCAGGAAACCGGAGGTCCTAGAAAGAACCCACACGAAAACAGAAGGTACAAACTTCACACAGATAGCACTCTCAAATAGAAAGTTTTAAAAAAACAAAGATAGCACCCCAGGAACTGTATCCAGGGCGCCAGGGCTGTGTGACTGCAATCCCACCGTGCCTCCCAACTCCCAGTTGTTCTGTAGAATTTGAGTGTTAAACCAATCATTTCCTGGTGACTTAAATTCATATCAAATTCTTCTTTGACGACTTTGCCTCACTTAAACAAATTCTGCTACTGCTAGCAGTTGATTACTGCTGTCTACAGGTCTGAGTTAATATAGTTTGTGGGAAAAACTGTTACAACCTTCTTACCCATAACAACCAACCCCTGCTGAGTGTTCAAAAACTAAACCGATAACAGTTCTCCTCACCTTCCATCCATTTCTTTCCAAAGCTCTCCTTCACCCTTTCCTCAAACTGACAATATACAATGCAGAACGTTCAGTCAAATTGTTTTGAAATCTTTAGTAAGGTACTCAACAGTTATATTTTTTTCCGTCTTTAAGCTTGCTATTTACTGTGAGAAACTGAGGCTCTTCATAGTGTAAATTTAAGTAATTTCCATAATGACCCAAAAAGCTTGTCAACTTCTGTATTCATCTTGTGAAGTTGTGTAACATATTATTTAAGAAGTCAATTTTCAGTCATCTCTACTACTGTTCTGGTGAGCCAAGCTATACAGGTTTTATAATGGTATGGTCTATTAATGTTCCAGGGACAATTTCAACTTACAGTAATTATCAGATTTCACTAGAAATTACTGAACTAAACTGTTCCCTAGAGTTTAACCATGTATCAGTTTTGGACTGCAATCAATATTTTTTTTGATTCAACATAGCTTTTCTCCAACTCTCCAAATATGTTATTATCCCTGGTTTTTACCATTACAGAAATTATTTACACCGTTCCCAAAGTAACACATGTTACTCCAAGTGTAAAAGAAGTGCTCAAACATTCTGAAACGTAATCACCAATAAAAACCTTGAAAATGTGTGGTGTCAGCATTCACAGCCCTAAATTGGTCATTAGTGGAAGCACTTATGCTTGAATTACAGCCATAATTCTGTTTGGATGGGTCTGTACTCACATACCACGTCACCTAGACTTGGCAGCGTTTGCCATTCCTCCTTCCAGAACTGTTCACACTCAGATTGCTGCAACAATTCATCAAGTCATTCCGTAGATTTGGATTGAGGTCAGGGCTCTGACTAGGCCACTTGAAGACTGTATACTGTATGTTTTTATTTATAAAAGGTGTTTTGGTGGACGATGGAGAGGACAAAAGTACAAATTGTCTGTCGCTTCCCCCTTTGCTAAATTTTTAAATTTTTCTCTGTTCTTTTTTACCCTCTATTTTCTGACCTACATGGATTCTGATCACCGTGGCATTTGGTCAGGTCTTTTTTTTTTCTTTCCATAGATTTGTAGCTTTAGTTTTTTTTTTTACAATGGCCAACTGTACTCCCAATCAGCTTCATGACCTGAGGCATTTTAAAATGGACAGTGCTCTACATTATATTTGTCAGGTTCATGAAATCCTGAACAGACCAAAATCTTCTCACAGAATATTCTGGTCTCCATGTTATCTCTGCTCCTGACTCCTTAAATAACTCTCCAGTAAATGCACAGAGAGGCGCTGCTTCCTAATGATTTCATTTCTGAAAATAACCTAGACAAACTCTTTATTAGTGTAACGTTGCTAAATGATGGACACTACTGTATTTTTAATGAATTAATGTATCCAGCCTATGCTTGTTATTAAGGAGAAGGTTTAAATACAGCCTCCGGTGATTGCTTGGCTATTTTCTGCCTCTCCAGCTTTGATCTGTGCCTAACTGCCTACTCCTCCTATTAACTCCTTCAAACATTTTATGTTTCCTCAGACTGTTACTGCCTTACTTGTTTATTGTCCTCTGAAATCTAATGCACATTTTATCACTGAAATCTCCAAACTTGTCACCGCTCTGCCGTTCAATGGATCAAGTCCTGATCTTACTGTAGGTGTGCTTAATATTCATGTGGACTAAGTAACTCTGCTTTTCCTAAGGTGTTTCCAAAGGCTTTAGTCTGTTTTGGTGTACCTCCACACGTACATGTACCCTCTTATAAACAAGGTCACACTTTAGATTTAGTCATCACTAGAAATCTAGAAATGACAGACCTGACACAGGCATTTTTGACTTCTGGCAGTGCTGTTTGACATACTGCTCTCACAGTCTCAGAATTATAAGCATCTTATGACTCAGGTCATAGCACAAGGCTGTTTTAAGAAAATACTTAGCAGAATTGTTTCGAAGGATGATATTATCTTCCATACTTTACTTCACCAATATGGGCCATAAATGGTTAAGCATGTTATTTCTTTCAAAACTGAAATAATAAGAATCTATTTTTATGGAGATGTAATGTCAAAATTCCTTTTTTGGACGGTATCAAAATACACTGAGTCGTTAAAGATACAGCAAAAGAGTACTGGAATCATTAGCATTTGTTACATTTCAATGCCTCTTGGCATGTGTGCAGTGTTGGCTTTTTTTTACACTTTAAAATATTGTGCTTGTACCAGATTTAGAGCTTTTTAAGTACAGTAAATATTTTTTACACTCTTAAGAAAATTGGGAATAAATTGTCATTCACAATGATGACATGCAGAGTACCCTTTTTTAAAGCAGGGGATTTTAATGGAGCAATCAGGGTGAAGCACCTCCCTCAAAGATCCAACAGTATCTTCCCACTCAGGACTGAAATGGTGATCCTCTGGTTGGAAATCTAGACCCCTTACTACCGATTCACAAAGCTGCTTTTATCTGCTTCCAGTGAAAAAATAATACTGGAGTCATACACAAGTACTTAGATCCTTGATTTGTATTACATATTAATTCAAGCGAAATGAGTTAAGTCTTAGGTATGTCATTTTGACTATCAGATCTTTACACCATTGGCAAAAAATGTTTTTGACAAAGTCTCAAAATCACGTGAAATAAGTCATTGAATCTGGCACTGTTCTGTTAATGATCAGTACTTGCTGTGTCCGCCTATACCATGAAATGGTGCAGACTAGGAAACATTCCAGTGACATTTAAAGATTCTGTTGAATGTTTAAAACAGTTTCCAGTTCTGCAGTGATATTGAAGTATTACATGCCCATTCTGCTTTTCACAAATTAATTGGGATACAGATCCAGTGATACAATGAGCTATATGATCCCAGACTGAAGAAGAAAGCCTTCCGTATGGTGAGGAGCACAGCCACACTGAATGAGGCAGATGGCTCATTTTCTGGCTGCAATGTTGCTGTAGCAACATGTGAAATGCAAGCCACATGTGATGTCAATAATTCTGTGTAACAAGTTTACCATTGTCAACAACAGGCACACTCCTGAATGTGGTAATTAATTGACCTCCTTCAATTGTGCTACCACCTCTAAAAGAATGGAGTTCCTCTGTCCACTCCCCATGTCACCTTTCACGGTTTCTCTCGTACACTTTCTACAGTTACTGTACGAGACAGAGTGAGGATTCCTGAGAAGACATCACCCCTTCCCAGTATTAGTAGGGGTGACTGGGGATGGTGGGGGCTGTCCATGTGGGGACACAAACTCCATTTGTGCAGTCAGATGATGTACCAGTAGATATCTATGTAATTAGGAAGATTGTACAGTGTACCCGACATTGACATTACACTATAATATATTCATATTTTCTTACACTGAGTTAAATTGAGGTGTACAGTATTTTGAAACTGATCCCAAAGTTATTGCATTGATGTGTCTGGATAATCCGAAACAGTCACTACTGTGTTGTTCTCCAAAAGTAAAGGCAGTGCAGTTTCTGGGGAACATATTGTTTTTAAAATGGGGAAGTTTCAGTATAACTTACAAAAGAAAAGAATTCCAAACAGCTTCCTCCCACAATGTTAACTGCAGAAAAAACTTATTACTGTAGATATGTTTTCAGAAGAACAATTACAGATCTTGGATAATGATTGAATGTATTTGGCATCATTTAGTTTCATTAGCATTCATGAATGACTGACAGTCATTCTCTCACAAGACTTTAACTATTGTATAGGCACTACATCACTTCACTAGTGAGAGCTGGTATGGCACAGATGATGAGGCAGTTTGAACTGTTCCGTGTCAGGCCTGGTGAAAATCAGGTAACAGAAACAGAGGAAGCCTGTATACAACTTCCCTGAAGCACACAGTTCTTACAAAAATGTAACATGTACATTTATATATTTATTTTTAAAGTATGGGTTTTCCTTTATGAACGAAGAAAGAATTTGGATGAACTTAATCCAATTCAAGTGCAACTTGAATGGAAGATTGAATTTGTAAAAATTGAATTACAATGCTGTTGTTTCTTTAAGTGTCACTCTTTGCCAAGCTCGGGTCAAGTCCTAATTTACTCTAAAAGTTCTTCAAAAGACTAAAACATAGCTAACAGCCCAATGCAAAACCATCCCAAACCAACAGGTGAAGGTTTGAGCGGAGAACCAGGGAGTGCTCCACCCCTTCTATCAGTCAATTTTCTCTTTCCTATTTAAACCCCAACCATGATAACACACACGTCTAGAGTTTTGAATTCCCTCCTCCTCCCTCCTCTTCTTCTTTCTTTCATGTTCCCTTTGCACCCAGGTTCCCTGGGGGGGTAAGTGAAGCTCACTTCCCCAAACTCAGGATGGCAGCTCCACCTTGACCCCTTCTGGGCAGGTTCTCATAGCATGGGCCAGAGTGGACCCCTGGCCACATTGTTCCCAGCAGCTACCTACTAATTCTCCTGCTCTCAGTCTCCTGAGTTGCCAGGCAGCGCCTCAAAGCGACTCTCAGAGAGTCAGGGGACTCCTTTCCCATCCTTCTCGAGCAGCTTTCTCTTCATTCTCAACCCCTCATGCAGCACCCCTCAAAGTGATTCCCCCAGTCAGGGGTTTTTTGTCTTTCCCCTTTGGGATTCGTTCCCAGTCGCTAGGCAGCACCTCTCATGCGACTCTCAGCGAGTCAAGGAGTTATCTCCTCCTTTCTATCCCCCGAGGGCATAGCCTGGTCAGGAGGCAGCACCTCGCAAAGTGACTCTCAGGGAGTCAGGGGAGTCTTCCTCTTCCTTCTCTACCCCTGCGGGCCCAGCTCCCAGTCGTGAGGCAGTGACTCCACACCATTATACTCCCACCCCAATGCTTCACAGTTGGGATGAGGTTTAGGTGTTGGTACTGTAGTATGTTTTTTGTGTTCTCCAAACATAATGCTATATATATTTACCAAAAAGTTCAACTTTTGTCTCATCTGTCCACAGAACATTGTTCCAGTAGTGCTATGGAGAGTAGCAATGGTGCTAAATTTCTTCCATTTGTAAACTACAGTATCTGCCTGACTGTGGACTGAGGGAGGGTCAAGTCTTTAGAAATCCTTTTGTAACCCTTTCCAGTCTTATGTGCTTCAACAACTCTTCTTCTGAGGTCCTCTGAAATCTGTTGTGATCGGAACATATTGCAATTGAACAGAATTCTGTTGTGAAGAGCAGGTAACCAAAATTGTGCAGGTCAAGCCCACACCCCAATTGATTGGAACACCTGACTCATTGATTGGAATACCTGACTCCAGTTACCCTCTTTTCAAGATGTCACTATCCTAGAGATTCACATACTTTTTCCATCAATGACATTGATTGTTTAAACCATTTGTTCAATAAAGATATGACAATGTAAAATGTTGTGTGTGTTGTTTTTTAAATAAGACTGTCTTTATTTATTAATATGACTTAGCTGAATATCAGATCACATTTTAGGACACATTCATGCAGAAATCCAGATAACTTGAAAAGGGTTCACAAACTCTTTCTCACAACTGTACTGCAAAAAAGAATGCTTAACCCTAACAACTAAAATCACAAACTCCATTATTGGAATTCTTGCAACTCCATAGCCAATTAAAAAAACGAAGTGTTTTTTCTTGTAGGAGAATTCTGACTTTTTATTTTCTGTCACCTCTTGTTACAGTGTTGCCATCTTTGTGAAGTGTTGAAAAATCCTAATAGTGTTCTTTAAAGCCAGCTCCATTCACACCAGTGGGCATCAAAAACTGTGTTGAGTATTTTTCCCTGTCATTGAAGGCTGCACCTTTAAAATATGACATCGGTGTTAGGCTCCAGAAATAAGTTACCAGAAATAAGTTCCTCTTTTCACAGACATAAAAAATGAATTTCCCCAATGAACTTCAGGGTAGTCATTATCTGGAACAGGACTGTCTCTTTACAAACCTGCAAAACAATGAGAAGAACAATACTTGTATACCTTACTTGCATGTACCTACAGGTAAGAGTTATACTTTTTGGTCAATTTAAAGAAAACTGACAAGTTATTTATAACAAAGTGTGTACCTTATAATAATGCTAATTATATGACTAGAAAAAGCACATTTGCTTAGTTTTAGTGTTACTTTGAGACTTTCTACAGTGCATGTAATGAAAGATTTTTGCATTTACAGACTTCACAGGAAAACATAACAAAATGTAAATAGAACTGTGTGTGAAGTGTCTGAACTAGTTCAAGATCAATGTTTTTAATTTAAACAAGTACTGTACAAAAATAGTCTCACCAATTTGAAATAGTAATGTTAATTTTATTCTTATATTTTTATTTTAATAGGGTATTATATACAGTACTGTATGTGAAATTGTTATTTAATTTGTTGCTTGAATTGGCTTGTGGCTTGAATAACTGGTGTCCCCTGGGCTCATGGCAGGTGTACATTGTATCTCTCCTGCTACTGTATATTAGCAGGAAACCCTTTATTTGCTCTTTTTTTCTTTTCAAGGTATTTTTACTTACTGTAGCTATAGTTACAGAACCATTTCATAGGTTCATTAATTCATTGCCAAATGGCATTATTGGCATTGTATGGCACATGAATTTCAGGTAAAATATTTAAAAAATAATAGCTAAAAATAAAAGCCTTATAGTTGTAAAGCAACAATAGGCAAGAGAACAAATGCTGTAATGTTGCTGAAATTATTTTATTTGTCTGAAATCAATTTTTAACAGGTCAAAGGCAACAGTAAATGCCAGATTCTATATTTAGGTGATCTGTGAACAGTCTGATACAGCAATATTTTGATTTAATAAAGACTGAAAATAATTTTATGTTTTTACAGTTATATACCACTCATAAAAACAGTTAAATCTAACCAAAACACATTAAAGTTTTCAAAGGTAGAGGTGAATTGATATAGACATCTCCAGTAAATGGAACCAAGCCATTTAAATGCTTTAAGAACGTCCACTTAGAGCCATTCCATTGATGTATTGATGTATTTGTAATTTTTTTATTTTGTGAATACGACTAAAAGCAAGACTGAAACACAAAGTAAAGAATGAAAAAAAAAATCTGAATATGTAATTATTTTTCCTTTGTATGACTTCATTGGTTTCTGAAAAAAAGTTGAAAGTTAGTTGTATACTACTAGTCAAAAAAGCTAATTGTTTAGAGCTCTTTGTTTAAATGTTTGTATGTATTACATTTACCTGATTTCTAACTATAAAATGATTTAGGAAAATGTACGCAAGGATGCAAATTACTTTTTGAATATACAGCGTGTTAGGAAAAAAAATGTATTGACTTTGATCTTTGTGTAAGCAAATACAATACGTTTTATATGCAAAATAACAACGGGACCTTCCAAGTGTTGTATTGAATATAAAACAAAAGCTAGGCAAAAAATGGCAAAAGCTATATTTGTAATAGGTGTGCACATACTGTACGTCTGTAAAGCTACACACATAGGAAGTGTTGTTAACCAAAACAAAGTACTGAAGACCAAGGTAAATTAAAGTAAAACCATCACAAACCGTCACCTCTGTAAGAACACCTCTACTGTAAGTGGAGCAATGCTAATAACTGCATCACCATGCTGCCCAATTTAAATAAATAACCGTGACAGTCTGGAAAAGATTACCGTACTGAAGAAGCAAAAAAAATGCACCTGGGCTGCTTCTAACAATTTAAGTGTGTTTTTTCTTGTACTGTTTCAGGTACCTGTGCAAGGTCAGACTCAAGATCTGAATGTTGCTACCATTAATGTGATTTTGCTGACATTGCTAGCTGGTGTTTTACTTCTCTGCATTGCAATAATAATTGGTGTGTTCATCCTTTTAATGAAACTCAAAAAGGTATGTCTACAATTTTGTACATGAAATATATTTGTTTTATTCTTCCAATTTATACGTAATATTAACTTAAATGGCTGAAAGCTGATTTTAGTAAAGCTTAAATTCCAAATACATAACTCCATACACTATTACATATAATTTATTGTTTAATTTCTGATAGGCACCGCTGATTTATACCAAATATGTGACATTGATTGAAGTCTGTAGATGTACTGTAGGAAGTATAAAAAATACTTTCAAAATATATCATCCAATGGCTTTTGACGATTAACATACTGGAGTTAATATGCCATAGAGTATTGTTTTACCCAGTAAAACCAAAAGAAAAACTTCTGTACTTACGTACAACTAAAGTGCTTCATTTTCTTGGCCCAGATAGGAAATTTGCTTAGCAGGCAGGTAAAAGACATATAGTTACAGAATACCCAAGACAACATGTGCCCATTGTATAACAGGACTGGGGGCACTGAGTGGGGGAGCTCAGAGAAGTGTCGTCGCCCCCATCTGAAACCTGAACAGTGTATAACGCTGCTGTGGCAGAGGACCTGCTCTTTTGGTGTGGCAGAGTTATCTGCTGTCTTGGGAGCACCTGTGTGCGAGCTCGGAGCTCGTGAATGACCAGTAATTGATCCTGTTGGGGCATGTCACAACTCCGCTCTCAAATTACAGTACAGACCGTTCAAATTAAAGAAAATAAAACTTAAAGAATGAGCTAATGATCTCATTCTGCTAATGATAACAAATAAATACACTAAGAACATTCAGGAGTGCAGTGCACTGGTTACTGCATGTCATCCGCACAAAGCTACAGTAGTTCCAAAGTGTAATCTACAGTATATTGAGCATTGGGCAATGTACTGTATTAGAGAAATGTTAACTTAAACTTTTTGTTTCTTAAGATATGGAAGAAGCTGTCAGAAAAAGATACCATCTATGAACAAGTGAATGACAAAGCTCTACAGTCTGTGGCAGAAGTGCTTTCCGAAAAGCTCCCTGAGAAAGCTGACCAAGCCACCAGCAGCAGGGCGCCTACGAGGCAGTCTTCCATCACACTTCCGATCAGTCAGGCATTCCGATCTTCTCAGATCTCCAGCGGACGCAAGACTAAGCACACGGACTCTATGTTCAAGCACTACTCCCCTCCTGATTACGAGGACCCTCTGCCGCAAATCGAAGGACAGAGCATCAGACCTGCAGTAGTCTCGCAAGGGGAAACAGATGATTCCTGGACAGGCATTGACCTTTCTTCACACGATGCGTTGTGGTCTCCTTACGTGGATATGAAGTCGTGCAGAGTTTCTCTTGAAGACTTCGACCAGAAGGGTGGCTTGGATGGGGACGGAGTGTACGATGCCCCTTATTTCTTCCCCTGCACCTGCTCCAATCGCAGCAGTACATGTGAGTGTTTGAACAGATCGATGTCTTCTTCCATCAGAAGAGCCAAGCATTCTCGGTTCTACTCCGATTCCAGCAAATACCAGGTGTCCAAAGCTTTCCCCGAGGGGTTTGGAATAAACAGGCTGGATGACAAAGAAAAGGAAGTGAAGAGGAGCACCACTCTCCCAAGAACTGTGTCGAAGGACTCGGGAGTTGCCTCCGTCATTGGTTCACAGTCAATCAATCCAGAGGAAAGCTGTTCTGAGAGTTTCTCAGAGCATGCTAATGCAGAGTGCCACTCACCAACCCAACCGTCGTGTCATCAGAAGAGAAAGCGAAAAACGATACAAAAGACCGTGAAGCAAGATTCTATTGTCATTTGACCCATACACCCTGTACTTTTGCTAATACAGAAGTAAAAACATTATATTATTATAATATATTTTAATATATACAGTAAATATAATATAACTGTATATTATATTAGGGGAAATTGTATAACCAAACATGAAGTATGAAATCCTTGAAAGTTGACTGAGTTCTACAAAGCAGACACTTTATAAGACATGGCAAAGTATCACATACTGTACTGTGCAAACCAATACACTTGAATCAGTGCTTTCCAGTTAGCTTGGTTCATTTAGAGGCTCTTCCAAGACACATTGTCTTTAAATCTCTTCATCCATGCTAATATACTAGAAAAAACCATCAACATTTTTCTGAAGCTTCACAGCCCTCTGCCATCTTCTTCCCAATGTGTGAGATAGCTGTGCAGCTATCTAAGTTTTATCCACATTACATTTCTGTGTCACACATTTCCAATGGCAGCAACACTTTCAGAATGCCACTTTACTTTCACAGCTGCTGATGATACATTATTTAAATGTTATAAGAACAGTGTGTACTTTCTGGCTAAATGGGGTTTTAAGGCATTGTTAGAATAGAAATCTGCCGTGTCATTACATGCCCTCTGCCTGACCTTACCAGACTCCTTCTTTGAGGTCTGTTCAATATTATTGATCTACAAATGCTAATGTGAACAATATGAATAATAGTATTGTTCTTCTGTTGATTTGCAAATTTAGCAGCCATTGATTTTTGTAAGAACTTTTTTTTATAAATAAACCTTTAACTCTAAACACAATTCCTTTGTATTTTTGTTTCCTCATTTATTTGATCTTTTTTATCTTAGATCAACCTAGTGTAAGTTACTTTAAAGAAAAAGAACAGGACAAACTACATCAATGCCTTTGTTGTATATTCCAGATGTTTTACCTGCCAGTGGCTCTCTACACCAGACAAGTTGTTAAAATACTCAATTTTCACCACTATTACTCAGGGAACTGAGAAACAACAAAGCACAGCAATTTATTTTTTATCAGTGACACCTTCCTTTGGTGTTAGCTGTAACAGAAGCATGTGAGATTTAAATGTATTACAAAGTTTAAATGGACTTAAAGGTTTCATTAAAGAAAAATCTGCACTTAAATAGCAGTTAGAGAAAAGACATGCAGTGGAATGGAAGTGTGAAGTGTATGTGCTTCGATGTGCACCTGTAACATTTGAAATCTTCACTCACATTTACTGGCACATACTGTACGGTTCCCTTTTTGAACACTCATATTTTTTCAGTTGGTGTAAGTTCCTCTTTGACGCTACTCATTTAAATGTTCACCACCATTGTTTTTTTCCTCTGAGCAATCATTTTAAAAGTTCCCCACATTCAGTAAATATGACATTTCTAGAACAAAATGACTAGATGTAAGGATGTAAGCTTCTGGGCTCTTTCCCTGCTTATTCAGATATTTAAAGATTTGTATAACTCAGGTTATACAGGACCAAAACAACCTTAAAAACTCAACTATGTACCACACAATGCATGATACATACAGTACCAAGTTTAAATTGTACCCACTTGTCAGTTATTTCAATATGTTTAAACATTGGGCTTACAAATAGCACATTTCATTGTCTTATCTTCTATAGACAAGGATTCACTTGGGTTGTGCTAAATTCTTTGTTCCCAAGAGATCTCTTTTACAATATTAGTAGCAGACAATACAATATCCATTTGGCAGTTAAGCAATTTCAGCATTTGGAAGCACCTTTTGAATGAAAAGCCATATACAGTATATGCCAATGACTAAAGTAATGCTGACAAATGAAAAACTGAAGGATTATAACAGCCGTTTCTGAAGCAAGTTAGCTGTGGGCAACATTCTGGGGCCACCTTTTTGTAACCAGGCTGTCAGCAATGCACAATCAACACAAGTCAGTTGTATACAAAGATCTAAATGATGTAAATTACAAGGTGGTACAATTATATGCAAAGTCATCAGTTAGGGGAAGTTAGGGGAAGGGGAAGCACTTTGAAATGCCATACAGTAAGCATACCTTCTTCTAATTGGGGTTCTCTACTTATCGGTTTATTTAGAAAATCGCAAACAAGAGGCCATCTGACATGCCAAGTTTAGATTATTTTTAGTAACTGATCCAAGCACCTCCCTGACTGAAACAGGAAGATGGCCTCATATAATGCTGCCCTTTCCTTGTGTACTAAAAAGAAGAGCTTGGCTGTTGTTAGCCAGGGAATAGGTATAGTAAACACTGTATATCCAAGTTGTGTTTACTAGGCTGAAAGTATTATAAAAAAATCATTTTAAAAAGGTTTATTGGCAATTTTAACATATCCAATCATGACATTGCTGTGCTATTAAAAATTAAAAAATATTTTCCTTTGTTCTCTACATTTACACTGGCACATCCTTGTATAAAATCTCTATCATAAACCAAAATATGAAGAAAAGGTTTTATGTTTAGGTAAGGTTCCAAGAATTGAACATAATCTATAGATCTGACAATGTTATTTGTATATTCTCTTTATTGTACAGTTATCAATAAAAATCATTATTTTATTATTTTTTACTACAATCCTTTCAGTTTCTGAAAACCTTGCATTTAGAAGAACTTCACAAGCTGGAGAATGCAATTCAATTGGTTTACTCTGGTTTAATTTCTATAGTCTGGAGCCCCTAATTTCAATGCAGATTTTGGAAAGAATTTGGATCATAATTTATGCAGCTGTAAAAGAGAGATTTGCAAAATAAAGTTGCCAGAAATATGCAGTTATTTGACAATAATGGTTTCACTTTCTGAATTTTCTTTCAGAATTTGTAGTATCTTATTTCAACATAAAACAATCTGTTCACCATTGCATATTTTATTTACAAACTTATAAACTACATGGCTAGAGACCTTTGTATGAGGTTTTCAGATGTAAAATGCCATGGATGTTATACTCACAGCTGGAAGAAGTGGAACACTTATGTTTTAAGAGACAAAATCATACAATTTATCAGTAAGGAGCACATTTATAACATCTTGCACTATTAACCTAGTGTGTGGTTAACCAGTTGTGCTTTCATAAACTCTAAAACGTAGGATCAGAGCTCAAGGTTGTGCTGTAAGATGTGTTGTGATGTCAAACATTAATATAACCCTTTTGGGAGGAAAACAAAAGACACTTGCTTCATACAAGGTAGGTAATAGTATTTTTTCATAACAAATTAATTTACACTTCTTCTGAAGATTGAAATATAGAACTTAACTTATACTATTATATAGTGTAAATACATGACACGTGTCATAAAGCAACATGAAGATGACTTTAAAATACATTAAAAGACATTGTTCCTACAGGTTTATAGTTTGGACCATAGTTAGCAGTCTCTGAATTTAAATAATGAACTCACATTTCTAACGACATAGTGTACAACTATTTGGTCACAGAGTTTAGTTTGGGTTCATGATTACCAAAGTACTTAACATATATGATAAAGAACACCACATCACAGGAATAATAAATAATAATAAATCCTTTCTTCAGTATGGACTGTTCGCATTATTCCCTGAAATATCCCTAATGAGTATTTACCTTGGTAATTGTACTTTTGGAATTCAGCAATTTTATTAATTTGTTTCCTGTGGTTTTACCATTTTCTGTGCTTTTCTATGGATTAAATATTCCTTCACTATTACTATACTTTTCCTAGTATTCAGTGTAGTAAAGCATAGATATGAAAAATCATGGTAAAAGGACAAGAAGGCTATCGTTCATTTACCAAGGTACAGTATACTTTAGGGTAAGGGTCTGTGCTATGGCAAAGGAATTAAATTTTGCCACTGGAAAACCAAGCAGTCCATTATATCTCATTGCAGTATCATTATACGTTTAAAAAACAGAAACAAATTTAATTTTAATGTGACTAAAACACTTGCTAAACACTTTTACACCAACATGTCAAGAGAATGATATCCGTTCAAAAGTTCAGTGTTTCTGACATCATCTTCCACCAATCCATCAATTCTTCTTTCTCCTCTTCCTTCCTCTCAATCAAAGATTCCAGCTCAAAATCCACCTTCGAAGATAAGATGAGAAACAATGGGTTCTTGGAACTTCTATGACCTTGCAATACTTTCAATTATCTGAATTCTCTAAAACTTTCATTCTCAGTGGACTAGTTTTAGATTTGTAAATAAGTGAACACACACTGTATAAAAAGAGGAATACACAAAGTATAGTTTCAGTAAGTATACTCTCCATCCATCCATTTTCTAATTGTTTTTTCCATTACAAGATCCAAGGGGAGAAGGAGCCTATCCCTGCAAGCAATGGGTGTAAGGCAGGATACACCCTGGATGGGACGCCAGTCCATCGCAGGGCATACAGACAGACACACACACACACTCACGCCATTTTCCCAGAAGCCAATTGACCTTCATGTCTTTGGACTGTGGGAGGAAACCAGAGCACCTTGAGGAAATCCCACACAGACAAGGGGAGAACATACAGACTCCACACAGGAACTGAACCCAGAGCCCCAACAATGCGAGGCAGAAATGCTAATCATTGCGCCCCAGTGCTGTCTGCTACATATTTTTACAAAAAATATTTACAAATTCAAGCATGTAAGGAATGAGAAATAGACTGTGGAAAAGGATTTTCTGCTCCCAATATCCAGTTTATACAGATCATTAATTGCAGAGAGTGGATTTGAGCAATACATTCGTTGCAAAGCACAAGGTACAAAAGGAAAGACAACTGGTGCAAGATATTAGTGCTGTATTTCAAAACTGAAGTAAATATTAAATTAAAGATTAAAATGTAATCTGCAATGTTCTATTTATTGTAAACACTACTGAATTATGCTTCCTCTTGTCTACCACAAAAAAAAGAGACTATTCCAGACCGAGGAAATTTCACTATATTTTGGCAGTGTTAACACCTCCCATATCTCTTCCACAATACTTCCAACATTCACTGTGCAGCACATGAGTTTGTGCTCTGTAAAATGCTTTGTATTTAAATTCAAAGCTAAAATAAAAATCTGTTTGTATATCCTGCTGACGAGGGTGTACGATCAGGGTGATATTTAACATAAAACTTTGCTCAGATCAAACTGTTTAAAAAATGTGGGGCACAGCTGTTAACTCAAAAGAGCTGGTCTGTGACAGAACAATTAATAAATGTCACGCTACCTAATATTTTTCTGGAAAATATATCAGGAATTCTGGGGGCTGGGTGACAATGCTGTACTGTGGTTTTAGCCTTTAACCTTTTCTGCTATGAAACGTTTCATAAAATTTTACTTTTCCCAAAATGTCTTCAATGAGTAAGAAAACTCATCTACGTACCTACACTGAGCAATGCAGTGTATTAAAATCATTTAGTAGAAAATGAAATAGTAATTATACTTCACTCATGGGCTACCCCTCCCAGGAGAGGATTACCAGAGTACTGTAGAGTTCATATGGAAATAATGATCCAGCTGAAATAGTGCCACCTACTGTATCACCATCATATTAGTCCACCACCATCATCCACACCATCATATTATTATGCTGTTTTTTGTTTTACAGTTTCATAAATGTATTACAATATAGTTCATACTTGGGGACAGACAGAACAGAAAGTGGATAAAAGTCAATAAAAAAGGAACACCACTTCCTTATTACACTTTCCTTTTGTCTTTAATGAAGCCTCTAGCCACAAAGGCAATGTTCCTGTCTTTTCGAAGAAAGAAAAAAATATTTTCCGTATAAATCTTAGCATCACTGCTTACCTTTGTTGCTGGGCTATAAGGAACAGCCACCTTTTTAATCACAGTGAGGTAGCCTGGGGCGGAGGCAGATACTTTGTAGTTACCAGGGGCAAGAAGACGCCAGTAATCACCATCCTTCGCTGAAAAAATATATATAGCACATGGAAACAATTAGTTTTAAAAGAAGGCAAAATGTGACCTACGTGTTTAAAATGAGCCATTGTATCAAGAGAAAGAACTGGACGTTACGTGCTGCCATTTGTATAAATGTTGGATAAAATACAAAGTTCAGTATTTGTGTCTCTATAAATGCATGGCAGAGATTATATCAATTTGATGACTACATATATAAAAGCACATTGGATAGCCACTGAAGAAAAACTGTGTGAAAAAAACTCTTATTGGATTGATGTTTTTAAAAGTGTGGCCCACTAGGTGGCACCATAATACAGCCTCATGATATTTTGACAAAATTTAAAACAAACTGGAGGCTGGAGGTTTTCTACTGTCCTTGTTATTTTAACAAGAATCAAAATTAGGATGAAAATAACAGAAGTCATGATAAAAACTAAAGGTTTACATTTCCATTAAGAAATGAGATAACCCTTTTTGTGATAAACAGCAATGTCTAGGCAAAGCGGTTTGTACACATATATGACAAGTGTAGTGGGGTTGTTACCAGAGGTGATGTCATGGCTTATCCCTTCTACAGATATTGAGGCATTAGAGATGGGGTTCCCCTGCAGGTCACGCACAAACCCTTTCACACCACGGTGAGCCTATGTAAAAACAAGCCAGTCAATAAAAACACACTGCTTAACTGTGGGACATTTTTAAAAACATACATCTCGATAGTATGCAAAGAAAACCTTGTCCTGACAGTACATTACATAACATGGTGGAACAGGAAAAGGAGGACCGAAGGCCACAGAAGACTCAAATTTTCACTGATCCTGGACTATCCAATTTTAAACTACAGTAAGTAAACGGGTCAAATCTCATTGTAAAAGCAGGGTGCTCAAAACCACATTATCTACTGCCACTGCATCAAGTAATAATATAAAAATAAACTTTATTTTATATAGAGCCTTTTAAGGTGGCTTCTCAAAGCGCTTGTCTCAAAGTACTGTCTAGGGCCCAGACTTAATCAAAATACAGTATAGAGTTAATTGCTAGTTGTAAATTTCAAACCCACTGTATCTTGGTGTCTATCTCGTTAATTGCTAGTTGTAAATTTCAAACCCACTGTATCTTGGTGT